GTAGGGAAAAACAGTTCGAAAAAGAAGCTTGTTTTTAAGTCGTTTACTTCTAGCTGAGCTACTCCTCACAGACTTTGTTTGGACATATTACAGGGTGCTGACACCTTTAAAGCGAAAGTGAACATTGAAGTTCAGTTGGCCTCAGAGCTAGCCATCGCTGCAATTGAGAAGAATGGCGGTGTCGTTACCACAGCCTTCTACGATCCGAGAAGCCTGGGTGAGCTTGTTCTGCCGTCACTGCTTTCCTTCCCTCCCCTCATGATGGCCGCTTTTCTTTTTTTTTTTTTTAACAGATTTTTGCTACCAGGTGCGTGTGCTCACTGGAGAGAGAGACAGAGAAACAGAAAGCAAGAATTCACCCCGCTAGAGGGGATGGCCATTCTGCAATTCCCTCTCCATTCTCCTCTTGAGATTTTGAGCACACACATGTACCCAGTGTGAATGTTAAGCCTCCTGGGCCAGGATTTGAACTGTGGTCAACTACGTGGAGTTCAGCAATGTAACCACTACGCTATCTGCTGGTCTTAGCTGCTTTTTTTTTTTTCCTTAAGAATTATTTTATTTATTGACTGGTAGGTGGCATGGTGGTCAACTGTGGTTCAAGTCTTGAGATTTTGAGCACACACATGTACCCAGTGTGAATGTTAAGCCTCCTGGGCCAGGATTTGAACTGTGGTCAACTACGTGGAGTTCAGCAATGTAACCACTACGCTATCTGCTGGTCTTAGCTGCTTTTTTTTTTTTCCTTAAGAATTATTTTATTTATTGACTGGTAGGTGGCATGGTGGTCAACTGTGGTTCAAGTACGGGGACCTGACTGGCAGGTGGCATGGTGGTCAACTGTGGTTCAAGTACGGGGACCTGGTGGCTTGCTTTCTCGCTTCCTACTCTCTCCTTTGCTATTCAAATTTAAATAAACAAACAAATAAATAAATAATTATTTTATTTAACTTTATTTTTTAAGGATTAATTAGTTGTTATTTTTTCACAAATTTTGCCAGAGAGAGAGCAAGAGTGAGCGAGCAAGCAAGCTGCCAGGTTCGAGACTCAAACCATGGTTCTCCATGTGGGAATTCCAGTGCCTTAACCACCATGCCGCCTGCTGGCCCTACTCACTTATTAATTTATTTTTTTATTTGTCTCTGAATAATTTATTTAGTTGTACTTTAGTTTTCCAAGCTAAAGAAATTTTGGTTTGGATTCCAGAGGGTGTGGTGTTCACCAGAGAGAAGCAGAGGGTTGGAAAAAGAAAACACCCCCAGAGAGGTGTGGCCGTGCTTTAATCCCGTTTCCGCACCTCTGCCTTATGGGAAATTTGGGCATGCACGCACATTCACTTGGTGTGTTATTCAAACAGCTGAGGCTGGGATTTGAACCATGGTCTGCCATGTGGGATCCAGTTTCCTTAGCCAATAGGCCATGGGACCAGCCCTATAACAAGTTCTTTTTTTTTTTTTTTTTTAGTTTAATGTATTTTAATAGCAAACTTACAGGAACAGCACAGAAGACAGACAACATTAAAAACATATACTTGCATGTAGGACAACTCAGAAAAGTATAGTGAATGGATGGAGCCTACCGTATGATAAAAATGCTACAAACACCATTTAGTTGCATCAATAATAAATTTATTTGTTTAAAAAAAAAATCCAAATGCTGGCATTGTCCAGAATAATTTAACAGGGTTATTTATAATTGTTATAAAGTTGAACTGGTGAAACTTGTTCACTGAAACATTTTGACTTGCATTAATGCTTTACATCCCCACATTTATATTAAAAATCCACACACAAATGAAAATGGAAAAATTGCCAATACCTTATTTCTGTCACCTATTTTCCACTCGCAATCACATACTTAGGTACCTTTTGACCCCATGGGAAAAAAAAATCTAACGTTCAGAACTACCAATTTTTTTTTTTTGAGAATGAAATGTTTCCCATCATAGTGGACTCTTAAGCACGTTCTCCACGTATGCGGCGTGCTAGCTGGATGTCTTTTGGCATTATCGTTACACGTTTGGCATGGATAGCACACAGGTTGGTATCTTCGGAAAGGCCAACCAAGTAGGCCTCACTTGCCTCCTGCAAAGCACCAATAGCTGCGCTCTGGAAGCGCAGATCTGTTTTGAAATCCTGAGCAATTTCTCACACCAGACGCTGGAAAGGAAGTTTGCGAATCAGAAGTTCAGTGGACTTCTGATAACGTCTAATGTCACCGAGTGCCACAGTACTAGGCCTGTAACGATGAAGTTTCTTCACTCCTCCAGTAGAGGGCGCACTCTTGCCAGCGCCTTTTGTAGCCAGTTGCTTCCTGGGTGCTTTACCACCGGTGGCTTTGCAGGCTGTCTGCTTTGTACGAGCCATGGTAAAGAGACCTCCTCACTTAACCCCCTTCTTCAGCTGGAGCTTGGCGAGCTAGAGGCAGTGCTGGCATTGGAGAGCGACAGCGGCTGCAAACACAATTCAATAATTTCTTAATGTACATTTTTCTTCCTTTTTTTTAGGGCTACTTTAGGAGGAAGAAGAGTTATCTTTTTTTTTTTTTTTTGAGAGGTTTTCGCTATAGGGCGCGTGCGCTTGCCAGAAAGACAGAGAGAGACAGAGAGACAGAAAGCAAGAAATCACCCCCCAGGGGGGATGGTCATGCCACAATCCCTTCTCCTCCATTCTCCTCTTGGGATCTTGGGCACGCACGCATGCGCCCGGCGTGAGTTTTAAGCCACCGGGTCCGGGACACGAACCGCAGTCGACTACGTGGGAGTCCAGCGACATAGCCATTACGCTAACTGCTGATTCCCAAGAGTTATCTTTTATGCGAGCCCTATGGGAGAAAGTTTATTCAGTCAAATTATTAAAAGCTTAGGATAAACTATTTTTCCTTCAATTTTTACTGTAGGGTACGTGTGCTCATCAGACAGAGAGAGAAAGGGAAAGTGAGAAAGCACCCCCCGGGATGATGGCCACACCACAATCCCTTTATCCTTCTCTCTGGATTTCGGGCATACAATGCACATGTGCCTGGCATGATTTTCAAACCGCTGGGTCCTCGACTTGGACCTCACTGTCACCCATGCGGGTTTCAGCCGCATTAACCACCATGTCACCTATTGGCCCTATATTTTCTTTTCAGTATTCCTGCCTATTATTTTTTGTTTTTGCTATAGGGCTCGTGCACTCAGCAGAAAGACAGAGAGACAGAAAGCGAGAAATCACCCCCCAGGGGGGTGGCCACACTGCAATCCCTTCTCCATTCTCCTCTTGGGATCTTGGGCATGCATGCACACATGCCCGGCATGAGTTTAAGCCACTTGAACCGTGGGTCTGGGACTTGAACCGTGGTCAACCACATGAGAGTCCAGCGACAGCCATTATACCAACTGCTGGTCCCCCTACCTGTCCTTTTAATGAGATTTTATCATGGCAAGTACTGCCTTATTTATTCTGCATTTCTATATGATTGGGTAGCCAGAGGCACGCTCTCCCAACTATGGGAACCGTATGTGACTGTGTCCAGCATGGTTTAGACCTCTGACAGATGTGGGTGGCTGCACCCAGCGTGTTTTAGACCTAACAGACGTGGGTGAGGCGCGTGCAGTTCATTTGATCAGTCCCAAGAGCCGCTTACTAGTGGGACCAGGCTTCTCCTCAGACTAAGGTGTT